TCCATAGCCCTCTGGGGGGCCACAAGTCCTTTCAGGGGGCCCGCAGGAGTCTGCAGCTGAAACCAAGAGCCTGAGCCCCAGCGCCCCCTGCCAATGGGTTGAAACCCTGAGCCCTGGCACTCCACCCCCCACTGCAGTGCCAGAGCAGGGCAGTCCCAGGGGCAGCTCCACACCCTGCTTCCTCTTCTCCCCACACCTGAGGCCCTCCCCCCCAGCCAGGTTGGAGGTGGGAAGCCAGAGTTGGGAAGTGCAGGCAGCTGCTGTTCTGACTGTTGTCATGGAGCAGGCAGCCATGGCATTCCGCTGTCATCTGCTGCTGGTGCCCGGGGTTGCGGCTGCTCCTCAGCTCATGCAGCCAGTAAGAGCTTCCCTGGCAGGGGGACCCCACTCTGTGGCCGGCAGAGCCCTTGGGAAGTATTGCCCACAGAGGAACCCGCCTGGTACACAACCCCAGCTATCCCCCTCCCTGCACCAAGCTACTCCCCTGCCCGCATACAGCCCCTAGCTACTCCTCCCTGCACCCTGAGCTACCCTCCTACCCACACAGTCCATAGCTACCCCCTCCCTGTATGCTGAGCGGTTTTCAAACTTTTTGAGCTGAACCGTCACCGCACACAACCCAGACAGGCTAGTGGCCTGCTGAAGTGAGTCAGGGGATGGAGGTGGCCCTGCCTTTCTGGACCCTGCTGGGCGGAACTGGCCCAAGCCCCACTGGCCCCTGCTCCCCCCAAAATAGAAGTCAAACTATGCCTATGCCCAAGCGCCCACCCCTGGCCTGAAGCCCTGAGTTCCCTGGAGTTTTTATAGCATGTTGAGCGGGGGCCTCAGAAAGAAAAAGGTTGAAAACCCCTGCTCTACTACATGCAAGGTCTGGGTCTCAACTAAGAAAATACAGATACTGCTCCAAATTTATTGCTGCAAGAATGCAGCAATTTTATTCCTCATCAACTTTCCCCCCTGTTCTTAGCATTGATCCTCTGAGCTAAACTTAGCTCTGGCTTTGATGGGCACAGCTCCACTGGCTTCAATGGAGCCATGCCCATTTATACCAGAGCTGAATTTGGTCCACCCTCTCTGCTGCTCTAGAATGCAATCTCTTTGGTTTCCTGTCTCTTGGCTTTCATTTGAGTTTGAGAGGATGGGGTCTCAGTTTCCAGGTTACCATTCAAAATGTACATGCAATTAAAAACATTTGAGGCAAGATCATACTGGAATGCCAAAGTGGTATAAATAAAGCTGTAATAAATTAACCTTTAAAACCTGGTTTTGAAAGTTGCAAGGAGCTAGCAAGCCATTGGAAAGATGAGAGATGATTTATATCCATCATTTACCTAGCATATTATATAGAAGATAGGTATTTTTCTCTTTTTTAACTTCATGCTGAAAATCAGAAAACCTAAGCCTGGTTCAAATGAACATGAAACCCACTCAAACTCATTCTTTTATTTAACGTAGGCACTTAAATCCCTAACCATCACCATTTGTAACTACATTTCCGAGAAAAAGCTTTTGATGACATCTCAATCACACCCATGTAAAGTTTTAGGTCAAGCTGAATATCGCATTAAAGATTCTGAGCTATAAAACAATATTAAGGTTTAGACATAATTTATAATGATGTCATTTAAATAGCTGTCTTCAAAATTTTCAGGCTTGCTAGTTCCTTAGAGTCTTATCTGCATATTCAGTTAAATATTTTCTAATTGACATAACATTTTAAATCAAATTATTTGATCAAAAGCTTGGCCTTTCAATTAGTTGCCACAGGGCCTAGTGCAGGGGAGGGCAAAGTATGACTCACGGGCTGGATCCGGGCCATAAGGGCTTTCAATCTGGTCCATGGGATTGCCAGCCCTGTGGCACAGCGCGGCTAAGGCAGGCTCCCTGCCTGCCCTTGCCCCACACCTCTCCCGGAAGTGGCCGGCATCACGTCCCTGTAGCCCCTGGGGAAAGGTGGGGGGCAGAGGGCTCCGTGTGCTGCCCTCACCTGCAGGCACCGCTCCCCGCAGCTCCCACTGACTGGGAATGGGGAATAGGAGCCAATGGGAGCTTTAGGGGTGGTACCTGCAGGCAAAGACAGTCCATGGCAGAGCCACCTGCCCCAGCCCATCCCCAGGAACCACTGCTGGACATGCTGGCCACTTCCAGGAGCGGCGCAGGGCCAGGGCAGGCAGGAAGCCTGCCTTAGCCCCGCTGTGCGGCGCTGCCACCCCGGAGCCGCTCGAGGTAAATGGCGCCAGGACGGAGCCCGCACCCCAACCCCCTGCCCTGAGCCCCCTCCCTCATTCTGCACCCCAACTCCCTGCCCTGAGCCCCTGCTGCACCTTGCACCCTAACCCCCTGCCCTGAGCCCCCTCCTGCACCCTGCACTCTTTGCCCTGAGCCCGTTCCTGGACATTGCATCCTCTTCCAAACCCCAGCCCTATATTCATGGCCCTGCATACAATTTCCCAACCCAGATGTGGCTCTCGGGCCAAAAAGTTTGCCCACCCCTGGCCAAGTGGGTTAATTGACTATCATACTAACAGGAAAGGGTTACAGTAAGAAAGCTAGGAAAGAGCAACACCAACACAAAACTCTCAAAAGGGAAGCACACAGGAAGTCACAATGAATAAGAGAAGGTGGAAAGAACTGAAAACAGGAAGGGGATGTTGTTCAATATTTCAACAAAGGAAATGTAGGATGAGAACAAAAACATTTCAAAAATGATAATATTTAGGTTACTACAATTACTTTATTTGCATCATGTTTATTTTTGCCAGTAGTGCTAAATAACATTTTAATAGAGAAAGATCTACTAGGAACTGATTAAACAAGGGAAAATTAACAAACCTAAAGCTGAAAGTTTGATAAATGTCACTTCGTTTGTGCCTCAACAGTAGGACCAGAGGTGGAGCCAGCCAATCATGATCTGTAAACAGGACAGATGCCCAGATTTTGTCTCCCTCACTCAGTGAATGAGATTGAAAACCTGACCTATTTACTTGGGAGGATGGAAGTGGACAAAACATAACCAGTCCTGACATTTTCCAACTCATTAATCATAGTAATTTATCTGAAAATTAATTCAGATATTTGCCTTTTTTTAAACAAACCACTACTGAATAAAGAACAGGAGTACTGGTGGCACCTTAGAGACTAACAAATTTATTTCAGCATAAGCTTTCGTGGGCTACAGCTCACTTCTTCAGATGCATCTAAGGTGCCACAAGTACTCCTGTTCTTTTTGCAGATACAGACTAACACGGCTGCTACTTTGAAACCTGTCACTATTGAATAGGTTCTCAAATACTTAAGCAAGCACATAGAAGAAATGCATTATCATTACACACAGTATAGGTGGGACAGTGCATTAAGAGGTGACTTCAGAATAAAAGTTGTGTGCTGTATAAACATGCTATGTAAAACACATGGTATAAACACTTGAGTCTCAAATATTACACTTGGCATTCTACTTGCAGAGTTTATACAGCAAAACACTGACAATTTCTTCCTTCCTTTCATTTATACTCTTAAAATTTTGTACATAGGGATATTTGTACTTATTGGCCCCCATTAGTGTACTATCTGAGCGCTTCAAAATCTGTACTGTGTTTATCCTCCCAATGCCACTGTGAAGTAGGGAAGTATTATCCCCATTTTACAGAGGCACAGAACCTTAGAAGTATTTGGGGGACTAACTCCCATTAATTTCAGTAAGAGTTATGTGCCTAAATACTTTGAGGATCTGGTCTTAAGTGACTTGTCCAAAGTCACACAGAAGTTGTGATGAAGCAGGTAAATCAACCTCAGCTCTCACAAGTCCCCAAGTGAGAGCCCTAACACAGGATCATCCTTCTTCTCTTTTTGTATACTGTGAAACATTAAACATTTGTATGAGAAGACATACTAGAACAACAGCAATAATCTCCATGGCCCAAATATTTACATAGAATTTGAGCATAATCAAAATTAAGGCTACCAATATTATACCTTCCAGAATACAGCAAATATGTCAAATGCATGGTAAGTATCAAACGTTATTTATAGTCATTAAATGTATCCCTTTGGTTCTAGGGGGAGAGAACATAAACATAGCCACCAGTCTCTCTTTTATCTATTGGCAACTTTTGGGATTTTTTAAAAATATAAAATAAATACAATGTGTGATTTAGACCCCTAAACAAAAACATTTCTTAGTAATGTAATCTGAATTAAAGAATAATTTTTTGTTAAACAAAGTTATTTCACAAGTGTATCCTTGAGCAGGTCACTTAACGTTTTGCTGTACTGTTCTCAGTACTTTGGTATCTTCAGATAAAAGGAAATATATAAGAACTTCTCAGACAATTAAGTTTCCTAATACAACAAGGAGGTTCAGTGATATTATAGAAAGGAAGTGGCTTCCTGGTGCCTCGGAGTATTTTAACGTGCTCAGGCACCTTAGGTAAGAGTTTACACCCATTTTACTAAATGTGAACTGTGGCAGAGAAGTGATTAGCCAAAGTCACCTAAACCAGCAGTAGAGCTTGGTATAAAACCCCAGCAGCCTCAACTCTAAACCCTCTGCCCTTCCCACGAGGGTCTACGGCATGGGGTGAGTGTGGGGCTGGGGCACAGTTACACCCTCCCCAATGCCTGTGTGCTGGGTGAGTTACACCCTCCCCGGCCTGGCTAGCAGGGGAGATCACACCCCCTCCAATGCCCATGAAAACTGCGTGGGCCGCCCGCACCCCGCAGGTTCCCCGTGCCTCCGAGGAGGGTATGGGGCCAGGCCCCAAGCCAGCAGGCGGCACCTCCCCACGGAGAGCGGGGTGCGATGCCCATAGACAGCCCCCAAACGGGGAGAGGGGAGTCCCGAGAGAACAGACGTCTCCCTCCCGCAACCAATCAGGTGCCTGGCTGGTGGCCCCGTGGCGGCGGTTGGCGCGGCGCCGGCCGTTGAGTCCCGTTTGTAACCAATCGGCGCTGGCGGCTACGGCTGCCTAGGCCTGGGCTCCTCCTCCTGTGACCGCGGGGTCGGGGAGCCGCCGCGGGCGCCATTTCCTCAGCGCCCCCGCGGCGGCGCGGCTGCATCAGCGCTGACGTGGAGGCGACGTGCGGCTCCGCCCGGCCCAATCCCCCCCACCCCCCTGTGACGGGGGCATCACGTACAGGGCGGCGGGTGAGTGCGGGAGGGGGCGGGGACACGTGTGTGTGTGTGTGTGTGTGTGCGCGCAGCCCGACCCCCTGCCGGCCGGGAGTGGGGGGAGAGGCCAGGCGAGGGAGACAAGCCAGGGCGTGCAGCGAGGAGCGGGGCATGAGGGCACGCAGGGCCCCGAGAGGACAGGGCGGGAGCCGCCCTTGCTGGGTGTGTGAGGAGAGACGCGCCCGCCGCCTTCGGGCGCCTTCAGTGTCGTCCCCCTTCCGCCCCCCGGGGGCTCCGTCCGGAGGGGTTTGTTTACCCAGCCGCCTGCCCCTCCTTGGAGGGTGCGATTCAGCCGAGCTCTTCGGCTCCCCATCGCCGCAGTCCCGGGCCCACGGGAACTGTAGCTCGGATGCCTTTCCCCGAATCTCTGTTCTTCGCGCCCTCCCCTTTAAACACCGTCAGTCAGGTACTTGGTCAGTTTCACGACGGTAGGAAATAGGCGCTTCAGTCGGGGTGGGGGGGTCATCTTTACCCCACCCGGGGAGGCAGGGGACGTGCTGCTCTCCCCATATTACCCCTGGGGATCTGAGGCACGGAGAGACTAAGGGTGGGGTCCCCAAAGGGACTTAGACACTGCTGAGCATCACAGCGCCTAACATTTAGGTACCTAGAAAATTACAGGCACAACAACAGTGCCAGCCCCAAAGCCGAGTCCCGCGCCTGGATGCACGGAGGGGAGAGAGGTGCCTTATAATGCCCCACAAGCGCCAGCCGGCTGGAGCAGGAGCCGCCTGAGCTAGGCATGTGCTAACCCCAGCCCTGCTCACGGAGCTAGGCACCGAAGGACATCTCTAGAAGTGTTACAGGGACACAGCTGCAGCTCCCCTGGTGTAGCGACAGTGGCGGAGACACTTACTACCGTGACGAAAGAGGTTTTTCCGTCACTGTAGTAAATCCACCCCTTCGAGAGGTGGTAGTTATGTCAATGGAAGAATTTTTCCACTGACCTAGCAGCATGTACGGTGTGGGAGGGGAGGTGTTAAGTCAACTTACTACATCACAGACACAGCATGACATTTTTCACAGCCCTAAGCAATGTGTGTAGATCAGGCGTAAGTCTGATCTGCAGGGAGGAGTCTATCTCTGTTTATCAGCCCATGAAGGGGAACCTACTGTCTGGGCTCACTGCCTAACCTGTTGCTTGAGGAAATAAGTTAGGTGCCTGCTTCACTCCAGGCAAACAGCCAGAGAAGGTGCTGTCCCTCATCTTATAACTTTCATCCCAGTGTTAGAGCACTTGACTGGATGTGGGAGATCGAGGTTTGATACCAGCCCTCTCTGCTAGAGAAGGAGAAGGGATTTCCCACTGCTCAGGAGAGTGGTCTAACAACTGAACTATAAAAACAACAAAGAGTCTGGTGGCACCTTAAAGACTAACAGATTTATTTGGGCATAAGCTTTCGTGAGTAAAAACCTCACTTCTTC